TCAGAAGGACAGGATGGTCTTGTTGATGATCTCCACGGCCTCCTGGACCTCGTCCTCCTTGATCACCAGCGGGGGCGCGAACCTGATGATGTCGCCGTGGGTGGGCTTGGCCAGAAGTCCATTATCGCGGAGGCGCAGACACACCTTCCAAGCGTCGTAATCTAAGGAGAAAGGCCCACAGACGTGGTCAGAGAGAAGCCGATGACGCCCAGCACTCCCTGAAGGTCCCGGGCAGGAGAGGCCCGCACACGGCCTCCCGTCCCGCTCCAGCAAGACGGCGCTCTGGCCTGGCCTTAAAGGAAGCTCCGTCAGCCAGCGCAGACGAGCCGAGCGGCCTCATCAGACTCAGCGTTCTCGTCGGTTTTTCATGAAGAAGACTACGTGCGCGGATTGCTGCACCCAGTCCAGGAGGAGGCGGCACAGAAAGAACGAGGGTGCGACACAGACTGTAACGAGCACAGAACGAGTGATGCCCCAAACCCAGCAACCACCACCTCACCAGGGCTGCTCCTCCTGCCTGTGGGAGGGGCGCTGCCGTCGCTCAGGCCGCCCAGACCCGTCAGGCCAGAGCCTGCGGGCTGGGATGAGGCTCGAGGCCCCCAGCTGGCTCTGGCGCAGCTGAACTCCCCTCTTTAGCGGAAGCGTTAGCACAAGCAGCCGGTGCTCGGCTCTAACCCTCTAACCGCGCAGCCAGGCAGGGCCGCCGCTGCCTCACGTCCTCGCCATGGCGCATGCCCCTCCCGTCCCCGCAGCCTCTGCAGATGAGGTCACAGCGGCGGGCAAGGACGGCAGAGGTTACGTAGGGCGGGTGTGCCGCGAGGACTGACAGAGCACAGCTCCCAGCTCCTCACTGGCGGAGGCCAGACCAGGCCTTTAGCACAAAAGCAGGGCAGGTGGCATCCAGGTGCCGTCATGAGGGAAAGACTGTTAAGTGCATCAGGGGACCCGTAGCCTGAAGAGCTGGCCCTAGGCGGCCAGACAGCGGTCTCCGAGAAACCCCAAAACCAGACAAAACGCCCGTGTTAGCCGTCCTGTGAGAACACCTCCCAGCCGGCCGCGTGCTGGGAGCGCTGGCCCCCGTACCCAAGGGTCATGGGTTGGCTCCCAGGCAAGGGCACGTGGCTGGGCTGCAGCCAGGAGATGTCTCTCTCACACAGCTGTTCCTCTCCCCCCTCCTCCTCCCTTCTCCCTCCGATGCTCTGGAGGGGACAATAGGGGGAGGGGCAGACAGCAGCTGGAGGGGGGCCCACCTTTGGTCTCCCGGATGACGATGGCGTTCAGCAGCCCCTTCCCGCGCACGGCCGTCACGATGTCCGAGGGCAGCTTCATAAGCTCGTTCCGCAGGAGGGCGCCCATGCGGTCCGCGTTCTCCGCCAGGTTCTCCTCCTCCAGAACCTGCGGGGCCAGCGGCGGCTCAGCAGAGGGAATGTGGGGTGTGCGCAGGGGAGGGGCGAGCAAAGGCTCCAGCTTTTCCTTCTCAAGCCCAGGCCACACCCGAGCGCAGAGCCCTGCCTCATCACCACCCACCAGCCTGCAGCAGGCACACAGGGGCCAAATGTGTTAACACAACGAAATAGTTCCTTACTAGCTGACTAAACCAATGGGCTAAACAGCTTAACTTTTTACCTGTAACAGTTCACTTACACTTTTCTCTAAGAAGTCCGCCTTAGGGGTGACGTAATTTTACGTAATAAATCAGATACACACGGAAAAGCGCCATGCACACGGAGCCAGAGGCCTGCCGGGCTCAGGGAGGCCCCGGGCCCACAGCCGGCACTGTGGACGGCGATGCCCAGGGGACACCCCGATGGCTCCCGCCAGTCACTGCTCCCCGCCCCGCGGGATGGGTGCGCTGCCCCAGGCTCACCTCAAGGGCGGCGATGGCCACGCGGCTGCCCAGAGGGTTGCCCCCGTACGTGGAGCCGTGCTCGCCGGGCTTGATGGTCAGCATGATCTCGTCGTCACACAGCACCGCAGACACCTGGGGGAGAGTCAGTGCTGCCACCCCTCCCACCAACTCCGGGTTCCTGCCCCCGGAGCAGACACCCCGAGTGGCAGACACCCCGAGCGGCAGACACCACGAGCCTGACACCCCCCCTGAGCCGCAGACACCCCGAGCTGCAGACACCCCGAGCCTGACACCCCCCGAGCCTGACACCCCGAGCCGACAGCGAACCGGGCAGAAGCTCCGGCAGCAGGAGCGGCACGTCGACAAACCCGCTCGCCCAGCCGCCACCCGGGCTCCTCGCACACATAAGCAGTCAGTCACACTCGCCTCTGACAACCGGAGAGAGCATGGGGCCCACAGGGACACCTCCACGGTGCACTGTCCAACCAGTGCTAATGCCGAAGCCAAGCCCACGGCCCACCGATTCTGCGGTTACAGTTGACCAGTGGGTTGCCCACGGGCGGCACGTATTACGGGTGACCGACACACCATGTGGGCCCAAACCGCAGGAAAGACGGCACTGCAGGGGAAGAGGGGACGGGTCCTCACCGGGTACAAGCCCCCGGAAAGGGCCTTGCCCAGGAGGACGAGGTCAGGCCTGACGTTTTCATGGTCGACCGCCAGCCATCTCCCCGTCCTGGCCAGTCCCGTCTGTATCTCATCGGCGATAAACAGGGCCTGTGGGAAACCACACCAACGTTATCATCCACCTCCTTCCCCTAGGGAAATAGTGACCGTCATTCCCTGATCCCCACACAGAGGGTGGTGAAAACGCTGTCACCAGCCATGCAATTTCAATCGTGTGCTCTGAGCCCTGGCCAGTGCGGCTCAGTGGGCTGGGCACTGTCCTGTGTACCAGTTACATACCAGTTGCCAATTCCATTCCCAGTGAGAGGACAAGCCCAGGCTGGGGCTCAATCCTCAGTAGGGGTTGTTTATGTGGGAGGCAGTCAATACTGTTTCTCTCTCCCGCTCTCTCTAAAGATCAATAAAAATGTTTCTCTGTAGGAAGTGTGCTACGGAATACAGAGGGAAGGCGGGGTGTGGAGACTGGAGAGGAGTGATTAGCCGGGGAACTTACATACACACTAGAGACCTGGTGCACGAGTTCATGCACAGGTGGGGTCCCCCTGGGTGGCCTGCAGGGATCAGGCCGAAACCCAGCCCAATGCCGCCTGCAGCTCCTGCCTGCTGCCCCCTGCTGCAGGCCTGCTCTCAATCAGTCTGATCAGGAGCGGCTCCCGCTGCCACAGCGCGCTCGCCAGCCATGAGCCCTGCGTCTGGTCCCCTCCCACGGGGAGTGGCCTGCAGGATGGGGCTGAAACCAGCTCTCTGACATTGTGAGAGGGCGCAGGCCAGACTGAAAGACCCACAGTTGCATGACTGGGCCAGGGAGGGACCATGGGAGGCCTCCAGGGCATGTTCGGCCCATCTCGCTCAGTCCTGATGGGCCGGACCCCAGCAGCAAGCTAACCTACCAATTGGAACACCTGGCCCCTGGTGCTCAATAGCAACTGGTCAACCAGCTGATTGTCTGCCCCCGGCGGTCAGTGCATGTCATAGCAAGCAGCTGAGCAGCCTTAATACATTAGCATATTAGGCTTTGATTGTTTAGTTCTGACATTCAGTCTATTTGCTTATTACCCTTTTATTATATAGGACTAGAGGCCTTGTGCACAAAATTCATACACAGGTAGGATCCCTAGGCTTGGCCAGTGATCAGGGCCAATCAGGACCTTCCGGCTGCCAGCTGGGGCCTTCCTTCCCCAGCTGCCAGGTGCCAGCTGGGGCCTTCCTTCATTCTGCACTGCCCCCTGGTGATCAGCACATATCATATCAAGTTATCAAACTCCGGTCTCCCCGTCAAACTCCCAGGGGACATTTTGCATGTTGGCCTTTTATATACATAGAATATATGCATAACCCACAGACACAGACAAAGTGGCGAAGGCCTGGGAAGTGGGCACGTGGCAGAGGGGGTCAATGGGAAAAAAGAAGACACAAACAAAGGGACTTCTGTAACACTTCCAACAATGAAGATCAAATAAAAAGATGCTTTAAAAAGACAGACAGACGTGTGCTCTGAAACTGGACGCGCCACGACTCCTGGGCCCGCCCCCAGCCCCAGGCCATCCGCTCAGTCCCCCAGGGAGGAGAGGAACTAACGTCAGGTAAGGCCTTTGAGGGCTTTCAGAATAGAGCGAATCTCTAGGAATAATTAATTCGCTTGTTTATTCCACCAACAGTTATTAAACATCAACTTCCTATTAAATATTTGCTAGCTTGGTGGGAAGAGGCGGGAGAGAGCTTGAATGCTGGCACAGAGGACAAAGGTTGGGAGGAATCAGGGGCAAACGCTGAGAAGGGGGAGGAAGGGGGAGTGGGGGGCTGCAGCTCTGCGGGCCAGGGTCCCCGGTTTCCACAGCCATAAAAGTGGGCTCTGGGCCAGCTGCTCAGAGCTCTGAAGCTCCAGGAAGGATGTCTCCCCTAGTGGAAGGTCAGGCACTCTGCATGTGTCCCCGCTGAACCCTGAGACGCAGGCAGGTGAGGAAAGGGGGTGAGGCAGCTGAGGAAAGGGGATAAGGTGAGGAAAGGGGGTGAGGCGGAAAAGGGGGTGAGGCAGGAAAGGGGGTGAGGCGGAAAAGGGGGTGAGGGAGGGCAGCCCACCTGGTGCCTGGTGCAGAGCTCACGCACGCCCACCAGGTAGCCTGGGTCGGGGACAATGACGCCCGCCTCGCCCTGAATGGGCTCCACCATGAACGCTGCCACGTTCGGGTCCTGAAGAGCACGCTGCAGAAAGCATGTGAACACGCATCAGCCACTCCCTCCCACCATTTCATATCTGAGCTCACAGTGCACGTATGCAGCTTCCTGGTACGAATAAGCATACACATTACGTTTTCCCACTAAATTATATTCTAACTTCAAACTACACTTCTGACATTCAATTACCAAAAACTCCAGCACTTCAGCCTGAAGTTATTCTATCTTACATTTTCTAGTATATAGTAAAATGTTACTGAAATTAGAGAAAATGGCCTTTGTAAAAGCCATTTTAGGTGAATCCTCCATTGTAGAATCCTCCGCTCACATTTTTAAAAAGCTAGCTGAAAACTGAGTGGTTTTATCTACCAATGGAGCAGCTACTCTGCATGTTAACGCTCACACAGGACACAACCTAACGCGGCTGGTTGGCTGGCAGGTTAGACCACGGACCTCAGTCCCCCCCACTGGAAACCAGGGACCGTCACAGAGTCTGAGTCCTGGCCGACTTAGTGAGATGGGTGTTCTCGGTCACGTGACCATGTGTAACTCACACACACACACACACACACACACCCCAAGTCTAAGCCCATTTACTGTGCACAACGGCATGGACACCGGCCGGTACCTCGAGAGCGGGCAGGTCGTTGTAGGGAATGATCTCGAACCCTGGCATGAAGGGGCCGAAGCCATCATAGCTGCTGGGGTCTGTGGAGCTGGAGATGGCGGACAAGGTCCTGCCCCAGAAGTTCCCAGCTGGCGGAGAAATAGTGATTACTTCCACCCCACGTTACAAGCAGCCCCAAACGCCCCCAACACCGTAGCAAGTCTGAGTCCTGAAAGCCCAGGCTTTGCCGGGAGAGCTTCCAGGAGCTTCCGCTGTGACAAAGCTGGTCTGGGACCGCATGGGAACGGGACACCAGGGCCGCCCCATGAGTGCCAGGCAGGCGTTTCATGACGCCCGGCAGAGCAGCCGGGGCAGATGCTCCCCCAACCACCCAGCCCCCGAGCACCCGTGGAAACGTGTGTGAGGGCAGCTCCACGGGTCTCCCAGCTCCCCTGTCAGCAGCCACGCCTCCGGCCGGCTGTTGTGGGTGAGTGCACACGCCCCCACGGTGCGCTGTCACTGGAGCCGGCCTGGCACAGAACGTCCACCCTCGGCAGCTCGTGAGAGTGAGAGGGAGCCCAGCTCTGGGGGCTCTGCTCCAGGGGCTCAGACAGAATGGAGACTGACTGCTCGCTTGGCCCCGGGGTCCCCGCTCTAGCAGGGAGAAACACCGTGACACACAGCACACGAGAGCGCCCTCTCCCGGGTAAATGCGAGGAAGAGAAACAATGCGGATAAGAGAGTGACTTGGAGGTTCTCTTTTCTTTTAAATAGTGATGGGTCACTTTGTATTTTTTAATGATGTCAGAGAGGAAGGGAGAGGGAGAGAGAGAGAGGGAACCATCAATGAGAGAGAATCATGGAGTGGCTGCCTCCTGCAGGCCCCCTCTGGAGATGGAGCCAGAAGTGAGCTCTCAAAGCTCATAACATCACTCGCCCTCGGGAGAGAGGAGTAGGAAGTTATTTAGGAGAGATAAATCCCGTATGTGAACAAATATTTGGAAAGAAACCCAAGAAAAGAAAATGTTTATGGAACATTCAACCAATCCTGCATCACACCAACACATCAGAGCATTCATTTCATCGGGTTCAACGGCAAACGCAGTGTGTGTGCAGAAGGCCAGGGCACGGACCTGCGAACAGGATCTTGGCTTTGTACTTGGGAATGCCCTTCACGGTGTAGCCCCACCGCCGCGCCAGCTTGCAAGCCGTCTCTCCGGCCTCCACGCCTACGAGAGAAAACGGGTGGTTAAGGTGCTGGTGGCGGCCGGGGCGGCCCTGGCTGAGGCCCGCAGCTCACCGGTGTTCATGGGCAGGACCTTGTGGTAGTTGAAGAGCTTGGTCACGTACTCCTCGTACTCGCCCAGCACGCTGTTGTAGAAGGCCCGCGAGGTCAGCGTCAGCCGCTCCGCCTGGCTCTTCAGCGCCTCCACGATCTTGGGGTGGCAATGGCCTTGGTTGACGGCGCTGTACGCGCTCAGGAAATCGAAGTACTTCCTGCCTTCCACGTCCCACAGGTAGATCCCTGAGACGCACAGGGATGGATTTAGAAAAACCACAAAGCGGAGAATAGATAAAAATAGGAATGACTTTAGATAATCATATAAAGTTGGAAAATTAAAACTGCCAGCACGGTGGTTAAGGCATGTTTTAGTTCAAGTGTAATACACTCTGGTTTATAAAAAAAAAAAAAAAAAAAAAAAAAAAACTTCTATTGTATCTGTCCAGCTTAAGTTAACATTGAACAAGAACAGCAAAGCATAAAAGGTTTCATAAACTCCAGAGTAAAAGCTTTACTCCTATAAAACAGGAGTTTGCAATTTAAAGTGAGAATTTCAAGGAGGAAGATAACATAAAAAGTCACGATCAGTTAACTGTAACAACCCATCAGGTAACAAATCATTTACCTGATCGGGAGCTAGTATCCAGCACTCTTATCACTCAACAAAGACTTAAACCCAGGGGAAAAAGGGCAAAGAACCTGTGGACATGTCTCCCTCTCTCTCTCTCTCTCCCTTACCCCCCCCTCTCTAATAATCAATAAAAACATACTGTTAAGCAATCACAACAGCATTCACACCCGTGAGAAGGTTATGATTTTTAAAACGGGAAAGCCAGCGTCGGCAAGGTGGAGAGAAAGCAGGGCTGTGCCCGCTGATGGAGGCAGCAGTGCGGAAAGCCGGCAGGAAAGCTGGCGCCCTGTGGCAGCTTCCCTCCTCTGCATCTGAGGGGACAGGGGCAGCTGTCCCAGCGCTTTACTTGCATCTTCCTTCTGCCGGCCAGGGGCTCCCCACCAAGACCGACCGAGCTCATCCCTGTGCCCCACAACACCCAGCCCAGCGAGCAGCGACCCCAACAACCGTGAGCTAACCTCATCCACAACAGAGACACTGAAGGACGCTGGGAAATGCACCCGGAGAAAACTAAGAGCGATTTCTACACGAGGTTTCAAAGCGAAAACGGAATGAGTTCAATACGTGCCTTTCCCTCGCTCCAGGGCGACGGGTAAGGGGTGGTAGTTGTGAGCGCCATACTTGGATTCGCGTTCAAACACATAATCGGAGGACAGAGGGCCTTGAACCGTTTTCTTCGTCGCCACCGATGTAGCAGAGGCTGCTGACGTGTGAGCGCCCCGACAGAGCCCAGCCACGGCCTGCAGACGAGCGAGTTTGGAGAGCATCATGTCCTCGGAGCAGGAATGCACCCACCTGGCCACAGAAGGGGAGCACCAAGTGAGCATCCTCCCCGTCGGGGTACGCTGACTCACTAACACCACTGAGCATGTGCCGTCATCTACCGAGAAACCAAGAAATGAGAGCACCCTGGCCAGAGTGCTCAGCGGTTACAGTGTCAGCCTGAGCACTAAAAGGTCAAGATTTGGATTCCCAGTCAAGAGCACGGACCTGGGTTGCAGGTTCATTCTGGCCAGTAAGGGACGGAGGGGGGGGGGGGAGGGGCGTGGGCAGGCAGCTGGCCAATGTTTCTCTCACGTCAGTGTTTCTCTCTCCTCCTTTCCCGCTCCCTCCACCAGCCATTCTCCCTCCCTCCTACTCCCTCTGAGACTCAGTGGGAAAACATATCCTCAGTGAGGATTAGAACATGAAGGAAGGAAGCAGACTAGAGCACAAAGCCTCCGGGAAGCGGAAAGTAAGCACGGGAGCAGCATGTGAACATTGACAGTCACACCTGACACGCACTGCGGTGGATGGACATACAGACACTCAGTCTGTGTCTGACACGCACTGCGGTGGACAGACACACAGACACTCAGTCTGTGTCTGACACGCACTGCGGTGAATAGACACACAGACACGCACTGCAGTGGACAGACACCCAGTGCCACGGGCTGGGTCCACAGAGTAAGAAGATAAACAATGAGGGTACTTCTCAACCCACCACCCCCCGTGCAGCTGGTAGCTCCAAAACACACACACACACACACACACAAACACGCACACTTTTAAGTCCTTGGTGCTGACAGTGCATCAGGGACAAGAGCGCCCTCTGGGGGTCAGGCTGGGTGACCCACCGGCAGATGGAAGGGCTGGTGCTGACCTCGTGGGCTGAGCAGCCAGAGGCGCTCACAACCGCCCAGCCTTCAATGAGCAGAAGTAACGTGTGGACCCCGACGCACTCCCCTTAGCCTGCCCTCCCCCCCCCAGTAAACCCCGTGTTCGGGAATTAGGAAGCCCCAGCGTTCGCCGCCACTCACCAGCTGCCCTTCCTTCCGCAGTTCAGATGCAAACAGACTGTGAAGCGGAGACCCAGGGGCCCAAGGATTCCTGAAATGAGATGCAGAATGGTCAGCATGGCTGGGGAGGAGGCCCCTCAGGTGCATCAACAACCAAGACAGTCACATGAACACGTCAGCCCGGGGGCTCGGTGGCTGAGCACCCTCCCATCGCCCGCAGGTCATCAGGTCCCTCCCAGTAGGGTACAGAGCCAGGGCGGGCTCCCCCAGGCCGGGCGTGCAGGGAGCAGCTGGATCAATGTTTCTCTCTCACCAATGATCTCTCTCTCTCCCTCTAAAATCAATAAAAATATATTTTTTAGAGAAATTGTAACGGAATTGAGATGGACTTGAACTAGTCAGATCAACAATCTCCTCTCCCAGAATGCCGGGGAGACAGGGGAGCAGAGCCCCTAAGCTACCCGTGTCCGTGTGAGCATCTTGAGCTTGCCGGCCCTGCGGGCAGAGTGAGGATTAAATGCGATGATTAAATGTGAGTGCCAACCCGGCTCAGGTGGCCACTCCACCAGGGCCCTCCTCCTCCACCTCTAATAGAATTGGCAACTTCTACAAGGTAAGTACCAACAGCCGTGGCTCCTCCTTTTAAACTAGAGATTTTCTTTAATGGGAGTAGGATGTTTCTACTGATAGAGACACAGACAATTTCCAGCAATTCCACACTTTGGAGGTAACCACTGAGCTTTATCTGCAGGACTATAGAGCTGCGTCTTTTCACCTCCTCCACAGACTTCACCACAGAAACCCTCCTGGGCACTCCCAGGTTACCTCGCACAAACTCTGTCCCAGGTCCTGCCCCTCCCCTCCTCCCTAATCCCCTAGGCTCCTGAAAAGGACAACCACCAGGCATGACATCCCCCCCTGCCTCCCCAGAACCTAGCCCGGCTGGGCATCCTGCGAGCGCTGCCGTCAGCCGCCTGAGGCCAGAGGAGGCACACGCAGCCTCAGGACTCCCGAGGGCGCGGCAGGGAGAAGGGCCCTGCAGGGCTAAGCCATCCGGACACGCTGGGGCAGCCCTAGGGGAGACCTTAGATTGTGACTAATCTTTCCATCGAGTTCACTTCAAATAAATACATAAAGTTTAAAAGCATTCACTCAAGCCGAAACCGGTTTGGTTCAGCGGTAGAGCATTGGTCTGCGGACTGAAAGGTCCCAGGTTCGATTCCGGTCAAGGGCATGTACCTGGGCTGCGGGCACGTACCTGGGCTGCGGGCACATCCCCAGTAGGGGGTGTGCAAGAGGCAGCTGGTCGATGTTTCTTCTCTCTCATCGAAGTTTCTAGCTCTCTCTCTCTCCCTTCCTCTCTGTAAAAAATCAATAAAACATATTTTTAAATAAATAAATAAATAAATAAATAAATAAAGCGTTCACTCAGGCCTGGCAGGTGTGGCTCAGTGGTTGGGTGTCATCCTGTGCACTTAAAGGTCACCAGTTCGGTTCCCGGTGGAGTACAGGTTGGATCCTGGAGCGAGCAGGAGGCAGCTGATCCAGGCCTCTCTGTCTCCCTCTCCCCTTTCCCTTCCTCTCTCTAAAATAATAATTTTTTTTTCTTAATTTTTATTGTTCATATTAATACAAATGTCCCTTCCCACCCCACCCTCTGCCCTTTCCCCACCCCCCATTGTCCTCATCCATAGGTGCACAGTTTATGTTCAGTCTCTTCCCACATCCCCTTCTCCCCTTTTCCCCAAGAATCATCAGTTCACTCCCCTTCCATACCTCTGATTCTATTATATTCAACAGTTAATATTGTTCATCAGATTTTTTTTTTAATTTCCTTGGTTTTTAGATTCACTTGTTGATAGTTACGTATTTGTTGTTCATAATTTTTATCTTTATTTACTTTCTCTTCTGAAAGAACCCCCTTCAGCAATTCATATAATTCTGGTTTGGTGTTGATGAACTCCTTTAGCTTTTTTTTATTAGTGAAGCTCTTTATCTGACCTTCGAATTTGAGTGATAGCTTTGCTGGATAGATTATCTTTGGCTGTAGGTTCTTACTATTCATCACCTTGAATATTTCTTGCCATTCCCGTCTGGCCTGCATGGTTTCTGTTGAGAAGTCAGCTGACAATCGTATAGGTGCTCCTTTATAGGTAACTATCTGCCTAGCTCTTGCTGCTTTTAATATTCTCTCTTTGTCTTTTGCTCTTGGAATCTTAATTATGATTTGTCTTGGTGTGGTCCTCTTTGGATTCCTTTTATTTGGAGTTCTGTGTGCTTCCTGGACTTGTAAGTCCAATTCTTTCCCCAGGTGGGGGAAGTTTTCTGTCACTATTTCTTTCAATATGTTTTCGATATCTTGCTCTCTCTCATCTTCTGGGACCCCCATAATTCTGATGTTGGATCGTTTGAAGTTGTCCCAGAGGTTTCTTACATCATCTTCAATTTTCTGGATTCTCTTGCCTTCTAGCGACTGCAGAGGAGTATCTTCTGGCTCTTTATGTTCCAAATCTTTGACTTGATTCTCAATTTTCTGGATTCTCTTGCCTTCTAGCTTCTGCGGAGGAGTATCTTCTGGCTCTTTATGTTCCAAATCTTTGACTTAATTCTTGCGATCTTCTATTCTGTTTTTAGGACTCTGTATAATAGTTTTTATTTCAGACAATGTATTCTTTATTTCTTGTTGATCCCTTTTCATATCCTCATAAGTCTCATTTATTTTATCGGCCTTTTCTAGGAAACTCTTGAAAAACCTTATAAGTGTGGTTTTGAACTCTATATCCAGTCGCTTTTTGTCCTCCATTTCTTTCGTTTGTGATCTATTTGGTTTAGGCATTTTCGCAGGCAGCTTTCCTGATGGGGCGGGGTTTCAGGGTGGAGCCTACAGCTTTGGCTTCTGTCAGCCCCGCCCTATGCGACTCCTGAGACTCAGGGTCCTTCAGTACTTGTTGTAAGCGCCTCTGAGAGAAAGGCGCCCTCGATTTTCGCCTGCTGCCAAACAGTCTAGTCTCTCCCCCAATGGTCCCGAAACTGGGGTTCAGTTCAGTTGGAAGTGGAGTTGGAGGTGGCGTTCAGAGCAGTCTGGAGCCCCTGTCTCCTTCCCGCCAGGCAATCCCGCGGCACAGCCAACCGTCCCTTCTCTGCGCGGCGGCACCGCCGCCGCCGCCGCCGCCGGGACCTCCTTTCGCCTCTTCCCCGGGGTTCAGCCTTTCAGCCCGGCTCCCTCTGTGTGAGCCTGGGTCCCCGGGGTCTGGCCTAGGCCTGGGGTTCAGAGCAGTCAGAATGGGGGCCAGCACATTCGGACGTTTATCTCCTTCCCGCCAGGGAACGCCCGCCAGGCACTCCGCCGCCCTCCTCTCCGGCTCCGTCCTCTCCGCGCGCCGCGTGTCTCCGTACCTTAGGCTTTTCCAGCTCCTCCGCGCTTCCTTCTGGTTTTCTCCTTGCTTCTCGTTGTAGAATTTCCAGTCAGTCAACTTTCCTGTAGTTCTGGGTGATGTCCATTTTATATTTTAGTTGTATTTTGTTGAAATTGTTGTGTGCAGCTCGGCTAGGTGCCTACCCGAGCAGCCATCTTGGATCTAATTTTTTTCTAAAATAATAATATTTGTATATTATTTCAACATGTATATTTTTTAAAAGAATTCACTCCGTTAGATTTAACGACCTTCACGTGCACAGATGTGAGCATGCCAGGCTGCTGTCACGCCTGACCACACCCAGGTCCCGAAGAAGAGAAAAAGTTGCTCTTGGCCGCCAAAATGTTCACCTCGCATGTTTTCAGCAATCCGCGGAATTAACAAACCCTTCCTCAAGACACTGAATCACTCTCTCCTGTCTAATCCCTCCTATTTCCATCAGAACATACCTAAAATAGAACTTTCCACAAAGGCTGCATTTTGAAGTTAATGTAGCATACACTAGGAAATATTTTTTTAATTCACGGGGGGGGGGGGGGGGGGCGGAGAGACTGTAAATCCAACAACAATAACAAA